CTTTTTTTTTAAAGCAAAATTTTGATATTTAAATGTGCCCTTTTGTGTGCAATTTTGTGCGCCTTAAAAAAGGGGAAAATAGAGTTATTTTTTCGCAGTGTTTTTCGCATGTCTTTTTCGGCGCTCCCCTTAAGTTTGTCGGAGCATAATCATATTATAAGTTGATTGATTTCAATTTTGTAGGGTATGCATGCTCTAATGCCCCCAAGTGCATGCACAAGAAGGGATTTTGCACTTTTTAAATTTTTTAGTTTTTCCCCTTTTTAAATTTTTTCATACTTTAATTTTGTGGGGCCATTTCTCCAAATGTGTAAAATTTTTGGATTTCAAACTTCATAGGATATAGATCTTTTAAAAAAAATGCAGTGCGCAAAACCGGGTACTCTGCATTCTTTTTTTTTGGAAAATTCCCCTTTTTAATTTTTCTACTTTTTTTTTTTCCAGGCTATTTCTCCTAATTATTAGCTATGGACATAAAAATTTAAATGGGATGGTAGGTCTCATTAAGAAAAAGTGCAGTGCTGTAGTACCGGTACTCTGCATTTCTTATTTTTTGAGTTATTGCCCTTTGTTAATTTTCATACTTTATTTTTGTCCAGGCGATTTCTGTTCGGGCCATTTCTCCTAAAGTACATGAAACTTCATAGGATGATAGGTCTCATTAAGAAGAAGTGCAGTGCACAAGAACAGGTACTCTGTATTTATTATTTTTTGAGTTATTGCCAAAGTATAAAAGCTATGGTCTTTAAACTTCATAGAATGATAGATCTCATTAAGAAAAAGTTCTGTGTACAAGAACTGGTACCCTGCACTTCTTATTTTTGAGTTATTACCCTTTATTAATTTTCATACTTTATTTTTTGTCCAGGCCATTTCTCATAAATTATGAAAGCTATGGACTTGAAACTTCATAGGATGATAGATCTTATTGATAAGAAGTGCAGTGCACAGAAACTGTTGCTCTGCTTTTCTTATTCTTTGAGTTATTGCTCTTTGTTACTTTTCATATTTCATTTTGTCCTGGCCATTTCTCCTAAACTATATTGTTCACAAGGGGACACATCCGACTCACGGAATTCTAGTATTTAATGAGGGTATTTTTTCCCAGATTCCAGTAAGGAGAAAGGGCGTACCAGTTAATGTTATGAATGAGAGTCAAGCCAGTATAGGTAGGCTGTTTAACTCCACAAACAGAAATATGTCGGAGGAACAGGCTTCATGTACATTAGTTAGTTACCCAAAACCAAGTAGTAACCCAGCATTCTCCAACACACCGTCTTTAAATCTCCTCACATACTTTCCTAGTGGAGTTCCCTGGGGCCAAGGCTTATAAACCAGAATTTTAGCTTGAATGAACTGTTTTATGATCCTGTGATGAGGATGGTACCAGTTTCCACAAGAAATATTGGGTTGACAAAAGTGTCCTGATATTCAAAAGGGGAAACGCCAAAACTGGAAAGATGCTGGCAAACTGGTTTTGAACTTGGTAAATATTTTGGTAATGTTGAATAATGCAGGTGAAAGAAAGGTGAGAAATTACATCAAATTATGCACGAGGAATGTGTAACTACACCCAAGATGATCTTAAAAATTGAATGTCATTTTTGATAGTCAATGGGGAAACTGGATGTTAATGATAGTGTTATTCTGAAAAAGTATCTTTCAAAAGCGCAGATAAAATTAAACTTATTTATGGGATATCAATGACCCCAACCTTGGTTCACCACAGTTTTTAGAATTTCTATTGAGCCAAGAAAACATTTAAACCATGATGAAGAAAGCAAAAACTGCAGTTCCTTGCCAAGGTTGTAGAGGCATATAGAACTGCCCTTGTTACAGGACTTGGTTTCCAAGAGATTTGGAAAGAGTCAAGATTTATTTCAGAGTTGTCAAGGGGCCGTTACCTAGTAACGAGAGTGGTTTTCCATGCCCAAAATGTGTTTACAAAGCTGAAATTAGTTATCAAAAGAAAATCCCTCAGGTAAAAATGCCTTTATTTAAAAATAACATAAAAGCAAACAAGAATTTGTATCCACTGTAAATTTAACTTGACTTTTTTTTCGGAAAAAAATAGTAGTATTGATAGTCATGACGGCATTCCCATTGCCATCCCCAAAACTGTAACGTTGGCTGTAATGTTTTGATTATCTGTGTTGTCCATTTAATACGCCTCAAATTGCATGATGTTGTGTCAATCTAACAGTAAATGGTGTGTAATCAGATATTAAAACCTTCAAAATAACTTTATATTTTGTCATTTTTGTTTTCAATTTAATAAAAAATGTCACCTGAACAGTCAATAACCCCTGTGATCTACATAAAAATCTATAAATATCGGTAATGTTCAATGAAAAAAAGCCTTTTATATGTTAGGAAGTTTTTGTAATTTATCTTAAAATATCACTTTTATAATAGTCAATCTTTTGAAATTTGAACTATTTTTTCACACACAGGCTTTTTTGACAGTTTAAAAAAATGGGAACATAAAGTCTCTTAATTTTCATTTAATTTTGATTTAAAAGTTCTTGTAATGAGCTAAAAATGTAATACCAAGATACAATGTATTTTATAATAACCTTCCATTTTGATATGTGTGCAATTCTGTCTATTTTAAGGAGCTTGGGAGTTTTATGTTCTGGAGGATCAGAACCCCCACAGCTGGTCAGTATCCGGAGTGATGTAGATAACCAAACATGAAAATACTGCCAGTATTAACCCAGCTGATGTAGAGATAGAAGTGAAACATAGAGTGATGTGTACATTCTGGTAAAAAATGTATCCAAAAATGTACTGGAAGGTCTAGATGAAAATTATGTAAGGTGCATGATTCAGTGTCACCTAGTTTTATGCCAGGACAAGATGGGGTAACAAGGCTAATACATATAGCTCCAGATGCTGTAAGTATATTGCTCTTCTGAAACATGAAATGACATAACCAAAATTTGATATTTACAACAACAATATTTTCTATCACTGTATGTGTCTTTGTCTGTGTAATGAAATGAATAATTATGAAAGTGTTAAAGATTTCAAACCATTTTTTGGAGACATATTGATTTTGCAATTGCTGTCTGTCTGTATGTCCATCTGTTGGTCAGTACAAACACTGAGGTACTTGTGTGACTTGGAGAAAAATAGGTAACAGTACATTTTCTTTGATGCTATTTATTCTGTTTTTACTTGTGTGTCTTTTTTTTAGACCTTGTGTGACTAAATATGACTAAAAAGATCAAAAGAAAACTCACATAAGTACCATTTTGTAAATAAATCCTTCCACATTAAGCTTTTCTAGCTTTCACAGGTCAAATTGCTGGCAGGTTTTAAATAAAACTTCACAGGAGTAATCAGTACCATCCCTAGTTGCTGGCATGTTCCACTTCGCTAGACAAAATGGCCGCCAGAGCTTTAAATAAAAAATCTTGTCCAGTTCTCACAGGTCAAACTGCTGGTGGGATTTAAATGAAACGTCACATGAGTGATCAGAGTCATCGGTAGTTGTTCATATCGTCGGCACATTTCGTATCACTGCACAAAATGGTCGCCAGGGCTATAATGACTTTCACAGGTCAAACTGTTGGTGGGATTCCGACTTCACTTCATAGGAGTGACCATTACCATACCTAGTTGTGCGAGATATGTTTTTGTGACAAAAACTACTTCTAGTTTTATATAAATATTCGATAAATTTCTATTTCATCAAATAGCATTGACATGCTTACTTATATTTTTCACAATAACAAAACATCATGACTCTGTCAATTAGTGTCATGTTATATAACTGTGTCGTAATTATTATTTTTTTTACCATAACTGAGTTAAACCTTTTTTTTGGGGAAAATTTTACTATGGACAAGTATATCACATGAAATCAGGAATCTGGAGTAATATTAAAGAATTAAAATGATAATGTAAGTTGTATTTTGGTTTAGAATATTAGATTAAAAAGCAAACTTACAATACAGCAGAGACTCTCTTGTTTTATAAAGAGATGAAAATATTTTTCAGGTGTTTCAAGATTTAGATGAAACATTTGTTGTAGAAGATGACGCCATACAAGCTACTGATAAACTGGGTCAAGGTGCTTTTGGTACGGTGTCAAAGGGCATACTGAAAAGGGTAAGTAAATATATACACATACAATATATGCCATCATTTGATACTTTAAATAAGTTTATTTCTTAACTCTTAACCTGCTGAATTGTAGCTTAAAAACTCTTAACATTCTTATTTCAAGGGATTTAAAGATCAAAATACAAAAATTGAGCTAACAACAACATATAACATGGACTGCTGACCTGACTTGCTCTATAGTGGTGGCAAAGGCTAAATGCTTTCATTTCAAGCACATAATTTAAGAGATAAATGAATTTAAATGTTCTTGAAACAGTAACTGTTTAAAAAATTGTGCTTGATGTTTCTTAAGAAATGTATTGTGTTTTTTATGTTTCTTTAATATTAATATTAGGAAATGTGTTGTGTTTTTGGTGTTTCTTTAATATTAATATAAAGAAGTTGTTTTTTTATTCATTCTTTTTTTTTCATATATACTATTATACAATTATTGACTAGTGAACCATTGAATATGATGTGATACTCACCGGCAGATGACTTTCTGCCGGTGAATATCACATCATATTCAATGGCTCACTAGTCAGTAATTGTTTTATTATATGAAAAGGCTAAGAAATAAATAACAAAATCATGAAAAGTACATCCTTATATACATGTTCAAATTTTGCCTTGTTGAAGCGCGGGAAAAAAGATGCACATGTTAGACGTGCAACAACTACACGAACGCTGCGCATACAAAAATAATTCAAGTTTATACTCATCATTGCGGTGTAGCCTTTCAGTATAATAGTAAAGTAATGATATTTTAATTGAGAAATATAACATAAAGAACATAAAGCAACAATTAATTTTTAATAAACACGCATAATTAACAGTCTACTGTGTATGATCATTTAATATGAGTCTCAATTAGACTGGGAAAATCCAATTCACCCAGTGAATATGATTTTATAAAAAGTTCTGTTGACTACTGTTTGGACCAATGAGATTGCAGCTATATTTAGATCATATAATAAATAAAATTATAAATTAGTGATAAGTGTTAGATCCATCTGAACATCTGCTTTCACCAAAAATAATTTGTGTATATCAGCTTTCTTTTCTGTCAGTTTAAAATATTAAGAATATTTCACAGAGTGAGCATTTGGTGATAGATGTTGCTGTGAAAGTACTGTATGATCCTAACAATAAAGAACGCAGAAAGGTCAGTTTTTCTTCTTAAATCTTTTTTGTCAAATTAGAGAAATATCAGTAAATTTGTAAGATATTTATTAAAATTTGAAATATTGTATAAAATTTGTTGTATATACACTTTAAAGGGTTGGTTGCAGATGCTGTATTTCATATTATTATACCAAAAAAATATATATGGAATTGTCATTTTGGCTTATAATACACTTTGTTTAATGTGCCATAAATGCATGTCATATGAAGACTGGAAAGGCACTAATAACAAGGTGCACCTTGAGAGAGTAAAGTAGTGTTATTTTATATTAATGAACTTTTTGTCAGTATTATGAATTTGTGATACATGTTACTGAATGTATATATGTTAAAATATAGCCTTTTAAAATGAAATTACTATGGCCTGAGTGTCTACCATATAATACTTGTATAAACAATAATGAAAGGTTATTTCTAATTTATAATTGTAATACCAAATATGCAGCATCAGAGCAATTTACATACTTCTCTACACTGTGGTCCTCAGATTGTTTTCAAACTTGTTCTTGATGCAATAATTTTGATATTCAAGTTTGAAATTTTATGCCCCCTGGCATATAGTAGTTGAACTGACTGTCTGTACAAGGTAAACCTATAACAGCAAGTTGGATTTTTCTTAAGTTCTACCTGTACCAATGGCTTTATAATTTACACACTTACTAATCAATACAATTTACATGATCTGGGTAAGTTACATAACTATGGCTTCCATTTTGACCAAGTTATTACTCTTTTCAGTACTTTGAAAATGACTATGGTTAACCTAAATCGGCAAGTTGGATATATCTTAAGTTCTATCTATACTAATGGCTTAATAATTTCCACACTTACCTATCAATACAAAGTACAAGATATTGAGTCAGTTTGATCAAGGTCACCAGTGCGGAAAATTGATGTTTATCCTTTTGCCCATAGTTGACTTTCATGTTTGGTAAGAAGATATCTTGTATGGTCTTCTTCCTTTGAATAGAGTTAGAGGCCAGGTCTAGGTCAAGGGTGCTAAAAATAGATATTTACACATTGGCTTTTACAGCCTTTATTTATAGACTGGTGTTTTTTGGAAGAAACATATCTTGGATAGTCCAATGCTGGGAGGTCACTTGTGCTAACAATAGATTTTTTACACTTTTTTATACAGCCTTTGTATTACTTTTGTGCCCCCACTTTAGGAAGGAGCATTTAGATTTACCCTTGTCCGTTCTCTTTTGTGTCGCACATAGCTCAAAAAGTATTTGACCTAGAGTCATGAAACTTTATTGAAATGTTGATCAGCATGTGTAGTTGTGCACCTGGGTATTTTCGTGTGAAAATATTTAGTATTTTTTAGTTATTGTCCGTGACTTAGTAAAAATTTACAATTTTCAACTTGTGACGCACATATCTCAAAAATTATTTGACCTTGAGTCATGAAACCTTACAGGAATGTTGATCAGCATGTGTAACTGTTGGCATAAGCTAGATTCTTTTCACAAATTTAAAAGGTATTATTATAATTTCTGGAGGTTACGAACATGTCGTCCCACAGCATTTACATACCAGGATTATATCTTTTCATTTATATTTAAACAATAAAAATTTACGATTTTCAACTTGTGTTGCATGTTAAATTGATCTAGTGTCATGAACCTTTACAAGAATGTTGCTCAGCATGTAAAGTTGTGCACCTGGGGTTTCACTTGTGGATTTATTCTGTTTTGTCAGATTCATTGCCCTTGACTTAGTGGAAACAGTTCCATTTTGTTGTGTTATTTGTTCCTCGAGTGCTTGAGTTAGAATCAACCAACTTTACAGGAATAATTATCAACATCACTGTGAAGCTATGCACCTGGGGTTTTGCATGTGGATTTTTTTTAGTTTTGTTAAGAGTTATTGCCCTTGACTTAGTGTAAATTCGCAATTTTCAACTTGTTAATGCATAACTCAAAAAATAATGCATAACTCAAAAAATATTTGACCTGTAGGTCTGAAAGTTTACAAGAATGTTGGTAGCCATATACTTATTCACCTTGGGGTTTCCTTGTGGATTTTTATTCAGTATTTGTAAAGTTCTTCCCCTTGACATAGTAAAAGATTTTTAGTTTTCAACTTGTGGCACATGTAGCCAAAAAATATTTGACCTAAAGTCATAAGATTGACAAAACAGTGAAGTGTGGGGGCACCCGTGTCCTAAGGACACATTTCTAGTTTTTTTACTAATGTCTCATATTTACAAGGAACATACCTAAGGTGGTCCTTTAAGTTTGGATGGAGTTTGGATTCACTGGGTTCAAGGTATATAAATACATTTATATATATTTGATAAAGTTGAATATTTTTCAACTTCATCACAAGTCATAGCAATGACTTGCCAACTTATATTTTTCACAGTTGCAAAAAAGCCATGACTCTGTCAAGTTACTGTGTTTATAATTTTTGGGCATTTTTTCTTTCCATAACTGAGTGAATTGGTAAACATGTTTTTGTGACAAAAATCTGAGTCCAGGGCATTTGTGTTTATCAAACATATTCTTGTTAGAGTTTGTATTGTTCAACAGTATACTTCATATGGTTTTAACGCCAAAGATATTTTAAGATAATGTTTGTTGGTCCTTGCAGACTAATCAGACAAGTCAGATTTGCCTAGAGACAATATGTGCAGCATATACCACAGCGAGGCAGGAAGTAAGCATCCTGCAGACAGTAGAACATCCACATATTGTACCACTTCTTGGTCTCTCCAGGCGTCCTCTTGCCCTTATACTTGCACTTGCACCTCTTGGTTCTCTCCATAGCATATTTGAGGATAGACATAAAGATGGGCTTCGTCTTCCTGTTTGGGTAATAAGACAGGTTGTTATTCAGGTGGGTACTCCTTTATTTACATTCATGCATATTCTCACAGCTTTGTCTGTTCATCTGTCTGCACCCAGAAATAGATGTTTAGGTTGCTATGGGAATGATAGGTAACAGTAAATTTTCTTTATTGCTATACCTGCAGTTTTCAGCTAGCTTTGTCTAAATAATCAACTATCAATAAAATATACTTATGGTATTAATTGTGAGATTACAAACAATTATTATGCAAGATGCAGAACAATTATAAGCTTATAATTGGATATGTTCCATGTATTACTTGAGACACATTCTTTAAAAGAATGATTGTTATGTTTCACTTTACAGTGACATTAATTGAGTATTCATGTTAACAAAAAGTACACTAACTGTATACTCTTTATAGTGGCATCCATGGTCGAGCGGATAAGGTCATTGACTTCAAACCACTTGCCCCTTACAGCTTTGGTTTTGGATCCAACCAAGGACTTTGGATTATTTCATGTGAGGAAGCTTTTGAATTAGCTTACACAACATTGGTGGTTTTACTTAGGTGCCCGTTACGGCTTGAAATTATGCACAAAGCATGCCAGTACAGCTAGAAAGTGGCAATATGACCTTTACTGTGATGGTGCAATGTAAAACTAAACCAAAAAATGAAAGTATTCTATGTATTTTGATATTATGTTATCATTAAAGGCATATTTTTTCCCTAGGTTGCAGATGCTTTAGATTATATCCACAGTCGCAATATAATATATCGAGATCTCAAATCTGACAACGTTCTTGCCTGGAATCTACCAGGACCAAATGATCTTGACCCTAGACAACCCGTTCTTGTGAAATTAGCAGACTATGGCATAAGTAAGTCTGTGTTGCCAGGGGGAACTAAAGGTTTTGGTGGAACGCCACCTTTTATAGCGCCGGAGATATTGATGCGTACTGGAAGAGACACTTATACAGAAAAGGTATGATAAGTTTATACATATTTTATATATATATCAATTATCAGCTCTATTGTATATATTAATATATATACTCAAATTATCAGCTGTATTCAAAGAATAGGGAGAGCTATTGTACTCACTTAGATATCGGTGTTGCACTTTGGTTAAGTTTTTGTGTGCAAGATGGTATCTCTAAATCTACCAAAGGGAATTGGTTGAAACTTCACAAACTTATTTAAGAGCATAAAAGGAGTTCACTGTCAAAGGCCTATAACTCTTACCTAGATTTTGAGAGAATTATGGCTTTTTTGGAACTTAAACAATTCTAAATTATTTGGCTCTTGTTTAACTCTCAAGCTCTAAGAATTGTTGAGCATGCTGTGCTACTGACACCACTTGTTCTACATTAATTACCTGTATCAAGAGAAATAAATACAGAATATCATTGCTGGGTTTTTACAGGAATATTTTGATCTTGTATTTGCCTCTCATGGATTTTACTAGAACATATTTCATTGGGAGATACAGTACTTTGTGAGATCCTCTTCAAATAGACTCCACTTAAGTCAAGTACTGTACTGATCAAGATACTCTTATAATAACCCTATTATTATAGTCAAATATAATTCATATCTGGACTAATTAGATTCAGTAAATTTTATAATATTCGATCACTACACTTTAACCCTATAATTGTGTTTCTCAGTTATATACTTTGAATAAATGACTAAATGACATAACACAAAGTCATTCAAATGTACTTATATCTCAAAAACATGTCATTTGTAACTTAAAGATGTGTTTGCTGTAAGAGCTAATTTGCATGACACTTTTAATTTTGCAGACATTTGGTCATAAGAAGAGAAATCAAATTCATTTTTACTGGACTCCTAAAGTTCATAATACTAAAAAGCTTCAATTAAATGATATGTATCATCATAGGTGATAACATTTCAACACATCTGCTTGTTAATCCCCTTCTGCAAAATTATAGGAATGGCCTCAGTCTGTCTGTTCGTCCGTAACACTTTCATGTCTGCTCCATAACTTTTAAACCGCTAAAAGAATTTGGAAATAACTAAACTTAAGTGATCACCATTATCAGGCATGTGCAGAGTGCAATAATTGAGTTGCTATACCCAAGGTCAAGGTCACACTTAAAGGTCCAATGTTAAAACATCTATAATTCATGTCTATAACTTATTGACATGATTCAAAGGTTTTAAAATTACTTGGCACAAATGATACCCACCATGACACAATCTGCAAAGCGCAACATCTAGGTTGCTACCCCCAAGGTACATCCAGGTTGCTACCCTCAAGGTCAAGGTCACACTTAAAGGTGAAATTATATTGTCCACATTTTCCTGTCAACTCAATTACTTTTAAACTACTAATAAGTTTTTAAAATGACTTTGCACAAATGTTTACCATAATGACCTGATGTGTGGAGCCCAATATTCAGGTCACAGCCCCCAAGGTCTAGGTCACACATAGAGGTCAAATGCTTAAAGACAACAATTTTGTGTCCTCTTCATAACTTTTAAACTTCTGAAATTTTTTAATTATATTGTCGCTGATAATCACCATCATCACCTACAGAGGGCAACAATCAGGTGGCTACCCCCATGGTCAAGGTTATAACATAACCATCAGTCTTGTAATTTTCACCTGAATGATTTGTAAAACATGAAAACTGTAACAAATAATACATTATACTCACAATCAAAGTATTATAAGTTAAAACAGGACATATCACTAAATCCAATGGAACAGCAATTTTGCCTAAACTTTAATGTCTTAAATAACCCATGGTTACCAAGACTTTGCAAATGTATTTACCTTCTAAATATGGAAGATAATTGGTCAATACCTGAAACAGACTTTCGTGATGAGCAAATGTGCTTATGATATGCATTGCACAACAAGAAGTACACATTCATGTCTGCTGCGGAAGGGGATTTATCTGTCCTTCAGACTGCCTTGTTAGTACTGTTTTTGCATTTAATCATCTGTAATATTTTTGTTTCAATGATTCAGGTTGACATATTTTCATTTGGGATGTTCATGTTTGAATTGTTAACATGTCGGCAGCCATTGACAGAGATAAACAATATCAATGTACATGTAGTACATGGAGGACGACCTACACTGAAGACAGAGGTAAAGTATTTCCATTCTATCTTTAATAGATCACTATTGAACCTGTATAATTATACTGCCTGGGTCACTATTGAACCTGTATAATTATACTGCCTGGGTCACTATTTAACCTGTATAATTATACAGCCTGGGTCACTATTTAACCTGTATAACTATACTGCCTAGATCACTGTTGAACCTGTATAATTATACTGCCTAGATCACTAGTGAACCTGTATAATTATACTGCCTAGATCACTATTGAACCTGTATAATTATACTGCCTGGATCACTATTGAACCTGTATAATTATACTGCCTGGGTAACTATTGAACCTGTATAATTATACTGCCTAGATCACTAGTGAACCTGTATAATTATACTGCCTAGATCACTATTGAACCTGTATAATTATACTGCCTGGGTCACTATTGAACCTGTATAATTATACTGCCTGGGTAACTATTGAACCTGGATAGTTATACTGCCTGGGTCACTATTGAACCTGTATAATTATACTGCCTGGGTCACTATTGAACCTGTATAATTATACTGCCTGGGTCACTATTGAACCTGTATAATTATACTGCCTGGGTCATTATAGAACCTGTATAATTATACTGCCTGGGTCACTATTGAACCTGTATAATTATACTGCCTGGGTCACTGTTGAACCTGGATAATTATACTGCCTGGGTAACTATTGAACCTGTATAATTATACTGCCTGGGTCACTATTGAACCTGTATAGTTATACTGCCTGGGTCACTATTGAACCTGTATAATTATACTGCCTGGATCACTATTGAACCTGTATAATTATACTGCCTGGGTCACTATTGAACCTGTATAATTATACTGCCTGGGTCACTATAGAACCTGGATAATTATACTGCCTGGGTCACTATTGAACCTGTATAATTATACTGCCTGGGTCACTATTGAACCTGTATAGTTATACTGCCTGGGTCACTATTGAACCTGGATAATTATACTGCCTGGGTCACTATTGAACCTGTATAATTATACTGCCTGGGTCACTGTTGAACCTGTATAATTATACTGCCTGGGTCACTATTGAACCTGTATAATTATACTGCCTGGGTCACTGTTGAACCTGTATAATTATACTGCCTGGGTCACTATTGAACCTGTATAATTATACTGCCTGGGTCACTGTTGAACCTGTATAATTATACTGCCTGGGTCACTATTGAACCTGTATAATTATACTGCCTGGATCACTGTTGAACCTGTATAATTATACTGCCTAGATCACTATTGAACCTGTATAATTATACTGCCTGGATCACTATTAAACCTGTATAATTATACTGCCTGGATCACTATTGAACCTGTATAATTATACTGCCTGGGTCACTATTGAACCTGTATAATTATACTGCCTGGGTCACTATTGAACCTGTATAATTATACTGCCTGGGTCACTATTGAACCTGTATAGTTATACTGCCTGGGTCACTTTTGAACCTGTATAATTATACTGCCTGGATCACTATCGAACCTGTATAATTATACTGCCTGGGTTACTATAGAACCTGTATAATTATACTGCCTGGGTCACTATTGAACCTGTATAGTTATACTGCCTGGGTCACTATTGAACCTGTATAATTATACTGCCTGGGTCACTATAGAACCTGTATAATTATACTGCCTGGGTCACTATTGAACCTGTATAGTTATACTGCCTGGGTCACTATTAAACCTGTATAATTATACTGCCTGGGTCACTATTGAACCTGTATAATTATACTGCCTGGGTCACTATTGAACCTGTATAGTTATACTGCCTGGGTCACTATTGAACCTGTATAATTATACTGCCTGGATCACTATCGAACCTGTATAATTATACTGCCTGGGTCACTATAGAACCTGTATAAATTATACTGCCTGGGTCACTATCGAACCTGTATAGTTATACTGCCGGGGTCACTATTGAACCTGTATAATTATACTGCCTGGATCACTATCGAACCTGTATAATTATACTGCCTGGGTCATTATAGAACCTGTATAATTATACTGCCTGGGTCACTATTTAACCTGTATAATTATACTGCCTGGGTCACTATTGAACCTGTATAACTATACTGCCTGGGTAACTATTTAACCTGTAAAATTATACTGCCTGGGTCACTATTAAACCTGTATAATTATACTGCCTGGGTCACTATTAAACCTGTATAACTACACTGCCTGGGAGGTTTGTATGGATTACAGCAATGTAGAAGATGGATGCTGATTTTCCACTTTGTATTCATGTATAAATTTATAAAACCTATACATTTGTGGAAGAAAAGAACAAAGTAAGTTTAGTTTAAACAATATTTTATTTCAATCAAACATGTATACACTGCTTTCAACCAAATAACAGTCTGCTATGAAAAGAGTCAATAGCTTAGGAGTCATGACCTTTATCAATAGAGATGGTAGCTTTGCAGGGGTATTTATGAAATAATTTGAGCATTATGATACACACCATGAATATTATGATGATTTTAAATCATGAATGTTTTTATGTTTTCAGAAATAGGTAATGCTTGATTAAAAAAACTGTAACTGTATTTCAAGGTTTAATACAGCTATGCAGTACAGTAAAGTAAAGTTAAATACTTTTACTTTGAATTAATTATTGCACTTTGGCCTTTGTATCTGAAAATTTGATCTTCTTTCATTTGACAGGCTGAAATTTGGCCTTGAGCACCAAATTCATTAGACTCAAATGCATTATGGCAAAGTTCAATTGTATAGAAACAAAAAAAAATCTTCTGTTCCTACCCTACTATTTAGTGTTGTATTAATGTGGTCACAAATGCAATCTTGTTCATACATGGTTGGATGATAACTTGGTATTAAGATATTCTTAATGTTGAACATTTGAACATTATTTTATATTTTAAAATGTCTCATACTTGAATATATTTACAGGAAGCCTTCTTACCTTCTCATATGTTAGACCTGATGAGTATTTGTTGGGATCAAGACCCTCATAACCGTCCATCTGCTGCACATATACGTATGATAGCCAGTAGTCCACAATTCTGTCACCTTAGTGATGCTATTACCATGGAAACAAAATCAGATGTACTATCTGCATGCTCTGTATTTGTAGAAAACATGGGCTTTTCAGAAACTAGTGTTCATAGTAAGTCATTAATAATTATAAATGGTATACTTCTTTATTTAATTAGTTAGATGTATGTACACAGTTTAACAGTAAGTTGCCAATATTTTTTTTTTAACTAGTTGCCAATATTTTTTTTAACTAAGTTCAACAAGTTTGTTGATAGTTCTAAGTGTAGCTCATTAGTTATGCACAGTAGGTTAAGAGATGTGTTTAACAAATAAGTAGTTTATTCTTAGTTTGACAGTTGATCATCTACACTAAGTTTAGTAAATAAAAAGTCTCAACTTAGTTAAGCAAGTCAACCATCAATATTAAATTTTATCAAGTTGGTCATCAAAGTTTACCAAATAAAAATAGTCTATACTTAGTAAGTGATATACACTAAGTTGAGCAAGCCAGACATCTATACTAAGTTGAGCAGGCCAGTTATCTATACTAAGTTGAACAAGTCAGTTGTCTATACTAAGTTGAGCAAGTCAGTCATCTATACTAAGTTTAGTTAGTAAGTCATCTATATTAAGTTTAGTAAGTAAGTGATCTATACTAAGTTGAGCAAGTCAGTCATCTATACTAAGTTGAGCAAGCCAGACATCTATACTAAGTTGAGCAAGTCAGTCATCTATACTAAGTTTAGTAAGTAAGTCATCTATACTAAGTTGAGCAAGTCAGTCATCTATACTAAGTTGAGCAAGTCAGTCATCTATACTAAGTTTAGCAAGTAAGTGATCTATACTAAGTTGAGCAAGTCAGTCATCTATACTAAGTTTAGTAAGTAAGTGATCTATACTAAGTTTAGTAAGAAAGTAAGTGATCTATACTAAGTTGAGCAAGTCAGTCATCTATACTAAGTTGAGCAAGCTAGACATCTGTACAGGGGCGTCCGTGGCCGAGTGGTTAAGGTCGTTGACTTCAAACCACTTGCCCCTCACCTCTGTGGGTTCGAATCCCGACAGGGACTTTGGATTCTTTCATGTGAGGAAGCTATCCAGCTAGCTTACGGAACGTCGGTGGTTCTACTCAGGTACCCGTTCGTGCCTGAAATAATGCACGAAAGGGCACCTGAGGTCTTCCTCAACCAGTAAAGCTGGAACGTCACGATATGACCTATACTGTGTCGATGTGACGTAAAACACAAAACAAAGAAGAAAAAAAGACATCTGTACTAAGTTTAGTAAGTAAGTCATCTATACTAAGTTTAGTAAGTAAGTGATCTGTGCTAAGTTGAGCATTTCAGTCATCTATACTAAGTTGAGCAAGCCAGTCATCTATACTAAGTTTAGTAATTAAGTCATCTATACTAAGTTTAGTAAGTAAGTGATCTTAACTAAGTTGAGCAAGTCAGTCATCTATACTAAAGTTAGTAAGTAAGTCATCTATACTAAGTTGAGCAGGTCAGTCATCTATACTAAGTTGAGCAGGCCAGTCGTCTATTCTAAGTTGAGCAAGTAAGTCATCTATACTAAGTTGAGCAAGTCAGTCATCTATACTAAGTTGAGCAAGTCAGTCATCTATACTAAGTTGAGCAAGCCAGTCATCTATACTAAGTTTAGTAAGTAAGTGATCTATACTAAGTTGAGCAAGTCAGTCATCTATACTAAGTTGAGCAAGTAAGTCATCTATACTAAGTTTAGTAAGTAAGTCATCTACACTAAGTTGAGCAAGTCAGTCATCTATACTAAGTTGAGCAAGTAAGTCATCTATACTAAGTTTAATAAGTAAGTCATCTATACTAAGTTGAGCAAGTCAGTCATCGTTACTAAGTTTAGTAAATAAGTGATATATACTAAGTTTAGCAAGTTAATCATCTACATGTATAATCAATTCAGCAAGTCAGTCATCTATTGGACCATTATCAAGATTTTTCAAATTAAAGCCCTGGGGTGAAATTGGGTCTCTCCCGGGGGTAATGTGTTTTTCTTATATGTATATATTAAAAATGTTCTTAATCTTTTTCTTCAAAACTACAAGGGCTAAGCTTAGATATTTGGCATGAAACATTGTCTAGTGAACCTCTTTTAACGTCATCATGTCTCCCAAAAGTTTGACTGCATTCAGCTAGTCGGGCTTTCACAGGTTACACTGCTGTTGGTATTTCACAGGAGTGATCAGTAATGACAATAACATAATAATAAAAACTTTATTTAAAGAGGCAACATAGTTAGGCATGCCCAGTCTTTCCTATGAGCCTTGTTCATATATACAATGTACATAATATAAACATTTACAAACAGAAGGTATAGTAAACAACAACAAAATTACATGTAGTTAAGAAACGTTTAAAATGACAATCTGGAGAAAAAACTTAGCATAAGAATATAAACATTGAATGTAAGATATACATTTATCATTTTATAATACAACTTGATGTGTTTTATTCCCATCAGAGACCCACCATTTCAGATAGTTATTTTTGAATGACTGTAAATTTGTGGAATTTTTTATATCTTACGGAAGAGAATTCCAAAGTTTTGACCCTGAATATGAAAAGATTTTCTGCAGAACTCCAAGTTGTTTTTGTACATATGATCTTAATTGTGTATGTTCTGTATTAGTAAAAAGATTTTGCATATAATCAGGGAGAAGATTGTTAAAGGACTTGCACACTTAACGGACTTTCACACTAAAATAGCTTTTTTATGATTTACTCTTTCAGAAAATTTCATCCAGTTTAATTCAGAAAATAAATCATTGGTGGATGCATCAAAATCTTTGTCTAATATTATTCATGCTGCCCGTTTCTGAAAATTTATACAGGTTATTTTAGAGTTCCTTACTGCAATTTCCCCTAATAGTGCAACAAAAGTCTAAATGGGGAAGAATGTATGCATTAACTTTAAAGAAAATTTTCCCAACATGAACATTTAGAAATTGTTTTATTACCATACCTAGTTGTGCATATTGCCTGCACATTCTGCTTCGCTGCACAAAATAGTCGCCAGAGCCATAAATAAATAAACATGTCTGGCTTTCACAGGTCAAACTTTTGGTGGGATTTCAATGAAATTTCACATGAATGATCAATACAATCCTTAGTTGTGCATATAGCTGGCAGGTTTGGTTTCGCTGCACAAAATGGCTGACAGAGGTATAAAAACTGCTGGTGGGATTTCAACATGACTTTACAGGAGTGATCAGTACCATACCTAGTTGTGCATACCGCAGGCACGTTTCGCTTCACTGTACAAAATGGCCGCCAGAGTGATTAATAGAAAATTACTTCTTCTAATGCCAATCTGTAAAAGCCGGTTTGATTGCATGGCTAAAAATAGCTTTCTTGGGAAATCCGAATTATAAAGGCGAAACATATACGGTAGTCATCAGATTGACTAGTAAGAAATAAGTAGATCTGACCTTTAGTCTGATTGGGATATAGTCTTAAGGTCATGACCTCAAGGAAGAGAAATGTTTGCTTTTCAGAGATATTTATAAAATAATTTGAGCACATTATATGGACATTATGATTCACAGCATGTATATAATGATGATTTTAAATTGTAAATGTTTTTTTTATGTTTTGAGAAATAGTTAATTAATTGAAAAGATAGTATTTAAGAAAATCCATTATTGTACTATTTGACATGCTGAAATTTGATCTTGACCCCCAAATTCATTAGACACTACTGCATTATGGTAAAGTTCAATGGTATAGAAACACAAAAATGCCTACTTCTGTTCCTAATATTTATTGTGGTTGCAAAGCATTTTTTCACAAATGCAATCTTGTTTTGTTTTTTTAGCTCACCTGTCACAAAGTGACAGGGTGAGCTTTTGTGATCGCTTTTCGTCCGTCGTCCGTCCGTCGTCCGTAAACTTTTACTTTAAATGACATCTCCTCATAAACCACAAGGCAAATTTCATCCAAACTTCACAGGAATGTTCCTTTGGTGGTCACCTTTAAAAATTGTTCAAAGAATTGAATTCCATGCAGAACTCTGGTTGCCATGGCAACCGAAAGAAAAAACTTTAAATATCTTCTTTTAAAAAACCATAAGAGCTAGAGCTTAGATATTTGGCATGAAACATCTTCTAGTGAGTGTCTACCAAGTTTGTTCAAATAAAAGCCCTGGGGTCAAAATTGGCCCCGCCCCGGGGGGTCATTCATTTTCCCTATATGCATATAGCTAAAAACTTAAAAAATCTTCTTTTAAAGAACTCAAAGAAGCTATGGCTAAGATATTGAGCATCAAACATGTTCTAATAGTGTCTACCAAGTTTGTTCAAAGAAAAGCCCTGGGGTCAAAATTGGCCCACCCCAGGGGGTCATTGATTTCCCTATATGCATATAGTAAAAACTTAAAAAATCTTCTTTTAAAGAACCAAAAGAGTTAGAGCTAAGATATTTTAGCATGAAACATGTTCTAATAAGTGTCACCAAGTTTTGTTCAAATAAAAGCCCTGGGGTCAAAATTGACCCCGTCCCGGGGGTCATTGATTTTCCCTATATATGCATATAGTAAAAAACTTAAAAAAATCTTCTTTTAAAGAACTCAAAGAGCTATGGTTAAGATATTTAGCATCAAACATGTTCTAATAGGTGTCTACCAAGTTTGTTCAAATAAAAGCCCTGGGGTCAAAATTGGCCCCGCCCCGGGGGTTATTTGATTTTCCTTATATGTGTATAGCAAAAAACTTAAAAAATTCTTTTTTTGAAAAAAACCCAAATAGCTTAGATATAAGATATTAAGCATGAAACATCTTTTAGTGAGTGTCTACAAAGTTTGTTCAAATAAAAGCCCTGGTCAAAATTGGCCCGCCCCGGGGTCGTTGATTTTCCTTATATGTGTATAGCAAAAACTTAAAAATCTTCTTTGAAAAAACCCAAATAGCTAGAGTTTAGATATTAAGCATGAAAAACATATTCTATAAGTGTCTACAAAGTTTGTTCAAATAAAAACCCTGGGTCAAAAACTGGCCCGCCCCCAGGCGGTGTTCATTGTTTTTAACTATATTGTTATAAAAAAAAAAAATCTTCTTTTAAATAGCCAATGAGCTAGAGCTTTCGATGTTTAGCATGAATCATCTTCTTATGGGTGCTACCAATTTGTTGCAAATAAAAGCCCTTTGGTTAAATTTGGCCCTCGCAACGTTTGGGGGGGGGGGGTGGGTTGGGGGGGCCTATATACAGGTGAGCGACCTTAGGGCCATATGGCCCTCTTGTTAATTTAGTATGTTATGAATTTCTTTCTTTTAATTGTATCTTAATGTAAATTTTTAATTATGATATAAAGACTTGAAGGTCAAATTTCACCAGTTTTACAAGCTATAATTTGTAATCAACTCCTCATTGTTTATTGTACTGTTAAATGAATGTCATTTACTCCATTTCACCAGTTTTACAAGCTATAATTTGTAATCAACTCCTCATTGTTTTTTACTGTTAAAAGAATTCATTTTCTCCACAGGAGAAAAAAAAAAAAAAAAAAAAAAAAAAAAAATCAAATACCACAAAAAAACCAAAAAAAATTTTTGGGTGTGACATCAGAGAACAAATTGTACATGTTAAAATACTCTCTTTTAACACCTGTAATAAATGTATATCATACCAGGTTAGTTGTTTATATTGTGACAGTGTATTAATTTCAGAAACTTAAGATCATAAGTTTTAAGTCTAGCTGAAGTCTTTCATGGCACGGACATATTGCAAGCTGTCATCTAATGGACTTTTGTGTGCGTAAAATTACATCATTTATGCTAGGTACTTTGCTTTACTTTGCTTAAGAAAATAGTACAAGGCAACCATGCCTATTATAAATTTATTATCCCCCGCCGATGGAATCGGGAGGGGGATATTGTTTTGGCGTTGTCCGTCCGTCCGTCAATCAGTCTGTCTGAATTTCGTTTCCGCTCCAGTTCTCTGCAACTACTGGCTGGAATTCAACGAAACTTTATGGGAATCCTCAATATCAAGAGGAGATGGGCATATCATCAGCTTGTTCCAGTCAGACCTTTTAACTCAGAGTTATGGCCCTTGATTAGTTATGCAGTCTGCATATAGAGCAGAAATCGTTTCCCCGCTACATCTCTGCAACTACAGGCTGGAATTCAATGAAACATTATGGGAACCTTTAATACCAAGAGGAGATGGGCATATCGTCGCCTTGTTCTGGTCAGACACTTTTACTTAGAGTTAATAAATCATTTCCACGCTACTTCTCTGCAAGCACTGGCTGGAATTCAACGAAACTTTATGGGAATCATCAATAACAAAAGGAGATGGGCATATTGTCGGGTTGTTCCAGTCAGACCTTTTAACTCAGAGTTATGGCCCTTGATTAGTTATGCAGTATGCATATAAAGCAATAATCATTTCTGCGCTACTTCTCTGCAACTTCTGGCTGGAATTCAATGAAACTTTAGAAGAACCTTCAATACCAAGAGAAGATGAGCATATCGTCCCCTTGTTCTGGTCAGACACTAACTCAGTTATGGCCCTTGATTAGTTATACAGTATGCATATAGAGCAATAATTGTTTCCACGCTACTTCTCTGCAACAACTGGCTGGAATTCAATTAAACTTTATGGGAACCATTAATACCAAAATGAGATGTGCATAATTTGTTGCCTTGTTCAGACCAGACCCTTCATTACAGAGTTATGGCCCTTGATTAGTTATGCAGTATGGCCCTTGATTAGTTATGTAGTATGCATATAGAGCAATATTGCTATTTCTTTGCAACTGCTGTATTGATTTCAACAAAACTTTATGGGAACCATAGATACAAAAAGGCAATTTACATCTCATTGCCATGTCCAGATCTTACTATTTAACACCAAGTTAATTAAGGCTCTGTTATTGCCCTGAATATTTATTATGTACTAAGAATATTACTGTTTATGCCATGATAAATATATATATATAAAGCTTTATGTCTACAGTTGTTGTGTTATTAATAACCAGTACCTGGCCGGGGGATATAAATTCAATGAATTTGCTTGTTTTCTTCTTTTTTGTTTAAAAATGGTTCATCTGTCAGACAGTGTTATGGATGTAAATGTTTATAATCTTTTAAAGTTGAAGCTTAAACATTATATTTGACCTCTTTATTTATTTTTTGTTTTATTTAAGGAAATAAAACCTGATACTAAGATGTTGGCTGTAAGCAGCATAGAAAAAAATATATGGTGTTTGGATGAAAATGGAACTATATTGATTTACAGGTATTTCACTATCTATATCTAACCAGCTATCACCTAGTAACTATGGTGATAAGTAGCTATAAATAGTTTGTTGCTCTCGTTTAAAAGACGATTTAATATAGAAGTTAAAAGATATGAAAAGGCCAGTTAGTGTGAAATATATTGAAAGGCTGTGATGGAGTAGTATCCAGGATACCGGACAGCAATTGGAAACCCATGGTCCGAGTCATGGCTGCACAATGTCATGGCAAAATATTTAAATGATTTGTATGCTCTCTCAAAAATTAGTTTAATGCATGGTGTGCATCTACAATATAAATATGTAAAAAAACACCTTTCTGGAAATAAAAAATTCTTGCTTAAGTTTATTTTGTTAGGGCTTTCAATATTTAATGACATGTGTGACAAACCTTTGTGTATGGGAGGAGTTTTGAAATAATTTCTCTGATAGAATCCCCCTTGTTTCATATGAGTCTTCACAAGTGTAAGATTTCATTTTTAGCTCGACTATACGAAGTATATGGAGAGCTGTCCCACTCGCTTCGGCGTCCGCGTCCAGATTAAAGTTTTGGTGCAGTAAAATATTTTTCACTATAACTTTATCATTTCTTAAGGTATCAACTTCAAACTTCAAATATATGTTCCTTATCATCAACCACATCTTATGTGACAAGGTTCATAACTCTAGCACCAATATTTTCAGATTTATCTCCCCTTGAACTTAGAATTTTCCTTAAAAAATACTATTTTTTACTGTTACTTCTTTATTTCTGAAGGGATTAACCTCATACTTCAAATAAATGTACCTTATCATCATCCCCATCTTATGTGACAATGTTCATTACTCTAGCACCAATATTTTCAGATTTATCTCCCCTTGAACTTAGAATTTTCCTCAAAAAATACTTTTTTTTACTGTTTTACTTCTTTATTTTCTTAAGTGATCAACCTCATACTTCAAATATATGTACCTTATCATCATCCCCATCTTATGTGGTAAGGTTCATACTCTAGCACCAATATTTTCAGATTTATCTCCCTTGAACTTAGAAATTTTCCTCAAAAATACTATTTTTACTGTTACTTATTTATTTCTTAAAGGTATGAACTTCATACTTCAAATATATGTACCTTATCATCATTCCACATCTTATGTGACAAGGTTCATAAACTCTGGCACCAATATTTGCCTAAGAATTATCTCCCCAAAACTTAATATTTTTTTACTTAGAAAAATGTTATTTTTTACTATGACTTTTTAGTTAAAGGTATCTACCTCAAACTTCAAATACTTGATTACCTTATCATCAATTACATTTTATGCGACAATGTTCAAACTCTTGAAGCAATTTATTTACAGATTTATCTCTCTTTAACTTAGGATTTTCTTTTAAGAAATACTATAACTTCTTTACTTTTTTAAGGTATCTACTTCAAACTTTAAATAAAAATATATTTCTTATCATTACACACATGTTGTTTGTGACAAGGTTCATAACTCTAAGCGTTACTATTTCTAGAATATAATTCCCCTTGATCTTGGAATTATGTTTACAAAAATGTTGTATTTTTTTACTATAACAAAAATAATATTAATTATACATAATTTGAATTTTTCTTTCATAGTTTTGTCCTCCTTACTGCGTCCAGTATTTTATTAGTCGAGCTTCGCTGTCTCCTGTGACAGCTCTTGTTGTGATTACTATTCACAATGCTTATGAACCTTCAGACTAAGACATTTAATTATGAGTGTTGGTATAATTTTAGCCCATCAAAGATTGAGAAAATTGATGAGTTTTGTTTATTGGTGAATACAATAGATGTTGTACACTCCTTTTGGGCATACCATAGTGACCCAAGGGGGATAGTTGGGTTTTCCTACTGAAAGAGGTTTAAAAAAATTTCCCCCACCAAACTTCTGTTTCAAAGAGAATTTTTACAGTCATGGATCAAATTCAGGGCCCAAACAGTGTAACAGGGGGCTGTTACTTTTCAAAACGTTTTTTTCTTCAGGAGAAAGGGGAGGGTTTTATATTTTTTTATCTGCTTCCCAGGAAATATAAGAAAAGGTCTCCGTCTTTTGCGTTCATGCCGAGCATTTTTCCCCCCAAAATTTTTTCTAGGTTTTAAAAAAAACTTTTAAACAAAGACAAAGATTCTTTTGGGAAATTTCATTGTGCAAATTTCAATAACTTACCTTTTCTATTAATTTTGAGCTATTTCCCTTTCAGATTTACTTGGAAATTTTTTTTATCTTAGCATAACTCCAAATGTACTTGAGTGATTTTCTTCAGACTTATTACACTGACATAAATAAAACAAAATAAATAAATCAAATATATGTTACTGAAAAGTTATGCTCACCTCCTCTCCATTACCTTATCCTTATCTAGGGTGTAAATGATTTTGCTTATATGTAATACTATATAGTAAAAACTTAAAAAATCATCTTCTCTGAATTGACAAAGGCTAGAGATTAGATATTTTGTCATGAAACATTGTGTAGTAGACCTCTACCAACATTGTTCAAATTATAGTCTTCTTGTGTCAAAATTGGCCCCGTCCTAGTGAGTCATTGATTTTCATTATGTACATGTAGTAAAAACATAAAAAATCTTCTCCTCTGAAAGTGTTAAACCTAGAGCTTTGATACTTTGTGTGTAGGATCATCTAATGAAACTTCCTTATAGGTATACAGCAAATACTTAAAAGATCATTTTCTCTTAGTTGACATAGGCTAGAGATTAGATATTTGGTATGAAGCATTGTATAGTAGATATCTACATTATAATCCACTCATATATTAAAATATACATGTAGAACATGTAGTTACATATAGTGAAAACTTTAAAAAAAAATCTTTTCAGAAGAGCTTATATATTTGGTAAATGATATCATCTATATGTCTTCTAATTAAGTTGTTCAAAGTTTTTCTTTAGTGTCAAAATTGGTCCCACCTAAAGAATGGCCATAGGTTTCCAAATATGGAAAAACACTCTAAAAACTACTGTTTCATTCCAAATGTCCTGGAAATTGGTGAGAAATGTTGTTTTGATGATTACTAGGGCAAGTTCAAACATGGGTCATCTGGTGTCAAACTAGGTCACTCAGATCAAATATGCAAAAACCCGTTAACACTTTGGAGGCTACTGTTTTGGTCCAAATAACATGGAAATTAGTCAGAAAGGTTGTTTAGATGGTTTCTAGGTCATGTTTGAATATGGGTCAACTGGGGTCAAAAGCTAGGTCATACAACCTAAATTATGGAAAAATATTGTTAACATTATAGAGGTAATATTTTCATCCCAAATATCCTGAAACTTTGTTGATGATTTCAAGTTCAGCTTTCAACATTAGTCATCCATGGTAATTTAGTTGACACAGCCCAAACTTTGTTATCACTCAAGAGGTTACATTTTTAGCCTAAGTATACTGGACATTGGTTAAAAGGTTGTTTGAATGATTTCCAGTTCAGGTTTAAATAAGGGTTATCTGAAGTAAAAAAAGGTCACAGCACATAAAATTTTCACTATTTTAGGTGCAGATATGAATGTTATGATATCAGTTTAAGTTTATGGCATCATCTGCCTTTCATTCATTGCTAACAATATTAATTCAGAGCCTCATTAATCAAGTGAGCGATATAAGGCCATCATGGCCGTCTTGTTGTCTTTTAATTGGTACAATTGCTGAGTTTAATTTTGGTTAACAAATCTAACAGGAGTACCTTCAATGTTATGTACAATGTTGTCTTTTAAATGCCTTTAAGGCCCAAAACAATACTTGGTTTTTATCTATTCAAGACAACTTCTATCAAATTCTATGACAATTGGTGATAGGTCTAGTAATATTAGGACCTTTCTTTATAAAGATCACTCTTATATTTGGACCTTTCCTATGTAATAACTATAACTGAATATTGACAATTTATAGGGAACATTGTTAATAGTGTATTAACCTCCATTTGACATGTTAACTTATTTATTTTTGATAATAATAAAAAGAGCAAAATTTAATGCACTTATTTTGAAGGCCAGCATGATTGTATATGAATATCATGATTGTGGGCTTCATTATTAAATTGTGCAGGTATAAACTGTGGAATGGTGTAAGCAAGGATAGTGGTGTGATTGTGAGAAATGCAGATGATCTAGAAGGGGAGACAAAATGTATATACCCACATGAAGATCATAGTGATAAACAGATTTGTCGTTTTATAACAACACCAGTCAACATGGCAAACACACATACTGCTTGGACATATTACTACCCTGGTAAATAAACTTTTTTATCACATAACCATGCTGCTTTTGCAAAGCGGCTCATAAAATATAATTTTATTCAACTCGTTCAATAAATCCAGTATTGAACTTTCACTCATTCAATATCCTCTATATCTTGAATGGAACATGTATTTTTGTGTAACATAGACTATGCTGGTTATGAGACCAGTCAATGGGAGGCCGCTTTAAGGGTCTTCATAGGCTAGTCATTAAAACATCTAAAGTAGGTGGTCTTTGTTCTCAGATGGTCTTAACTTAAATCTGACTGTATTATTAAAAGTTGTAAAACAATCTGAAATATTTCTCATAAAAGTAAACTCACTTTTATATAGATAATTTACTCCAGAATATATGTGAATATATCTATAATTATGTACTCTAGAATATATTACCTCCCTTTTGTATTAGGTTTGCCATTTGCTTCAGAAAAAAATACAGTTAATTCGTAAATTTAATTAGATAGAAAGAGTAGGCATTTTAGTTGTTTTTATCATCAAACAATTTTAAGTCAAGAGAATTATCCAAAGTGTGTTTATATATCACTCACAATAGTTTGTAGGAGAAATAATTTTTAACAGACACTTAAAAATTTTAGTAAGAAATGTTTAAATACTATTAGCCAATGAAACTCATAATTTATATTCACTTCGGAGATAATGTATCAATAGTATATATAGACGTCAGACTGTAGATCGCTGTTTACTTGTAAATACATGTGAGTTGAATAAAAAAAATTTCTGAATAAAACACAATATTTCTATTGTTTTTAAGTTTTGAATGTCAAACCCTATTTTGAGGATCTAGGCATGCACACTAATTGAAAGTAAAAGTATCTGCAAATTTTATACGCCACAAAAATGTCTAAAATATCGTACATTTGGAGCAAATTTGCTCTTACAACCATACTCTGGCTAGAAATATCTTAGCTGGTTGAGGTTCAGGAAATATTTTGAGAGTTGAATATTTAAGTCTGCTTGTTGCCTTTGTAAGAGTTGGATAGAAGTGATATCGATTTACTAGTACCCAGACATCTTAGATATCTGGTGCTGATTGATTGATTGATTGATTTTCTTTAGACCGGGCGGTCAAGGATAACCTACAAAAGTGCAAGCACTTATTTCCAGTAGGGTCCTTACCTCAGCAGACTGTAGAGACAGCTATGAGATACAAGGGAATTAGGGAACCAGTCCCTAGCTCTTATTGAATAGATTCCTTGGGTTCTTTTACATGCCCAGTGTATAGCACTGATACATGTGAGGATTTCCTGGGTTTCATACCAGTAAACCTCTAGTTAGGTGGGAAACACTGAAAGTGTTTCTGAAAAATGCCAAGGGTGTTACCCAGGATCGAACCCGGAACCTCAGGAGTGACAGTCAGTGGTTTAACCAACTGAGCTATCGTGCCACCTATAAATGCTAAAAATACATTATTGTTTCAGTAAAACCTCTTGTGCAAATGTTTGATAGGGAATAGTTTATTTCAAAGATATTATTTGAAGGATTGATTTTTAAACGTTTATTTGCGTCAAGAGATTGTTGATTTGAAATATTTAAGTAAGGAATAAGAAATAGGTTAAAGAATATAAGTTTAACTTTGAAAGTAAGTGTGAATAGTGTTTGGGGGTTTTTTTTGAAAAATATATTTTGGATAATTGAAAAATTACTATGAGATTGTTATTTTTTATTTTGTTATTTCTGGAATTATTTTTTTAAGTTGATATCTAATCAAAGGGCTTAGAAACCCCCAAAGAAAAATTTATATTTGAATATTTCAAATCAGTACAGATAAATATCCCCAAAAAAATTGTATATTTGCATTTAAGAATATTAATAATTTATTTTGTAGCACTTGAATAATAATCATCCGCTCGGTACATGCTACAATATGTTAATATATCTATAATCATTTACACATGTACTCTACAATATATGTTCTCTGGCCAATAGTGGGCATGTTTTTCTGTTTTCAATAGATTTTGATAATAAATTACAATAAACATGATATACCGATTGGTGTCTTTGACCATTACTGTAGTGTTGGCTCTGTTATACACCAGGTCTGCATTGTAAAACAACTTGAGCTAAATGTTTTTACCCAGTGTTGGGTGAAATTTGTTGCTTTGTTTGCGTTATACCTTTGGCCTCTTTCAGTGGCTGGTTTTTTAAAACTGACATTCTTTGTGGGAGACCCATTGCATTTCTTGACTGATAGACAACCATTGGCACTGTTTATTTTTGTAGTAAATGTTAAGCAGAAGCTGGTTGGTATTGCTTTTTGACCTGGTGTCAAACAATGAATTGCTTCTCCCTCACAGTGAAGTGGCTAATTTGATGGATGGGAGTTCTGGTTACCCAGCAATAGCTTTTTCATGTGTTATCTTGGTTACTGTGTCTTTTGTGACACAGAAATGCTCATTGTGATGTCTATTCCTGTAATTTGCCTGTATTTTAAATTAGCAAGTTTTCATTTATTGCATTAGGCGGTGAACTATTTTTCATTTGGTTCTGGTTATCTGGTAGCGAGTTTTAAATGGTTTTGGTATACAGTTTATCGTGCATATGTGTTTATATTAGTCCCCTACCGGTTTAACCGGAGGGGACTTTAGGTTTACCCTCCGTCCGTCTGTCTGTCTGTCCGTCTGTCAGTCCGTCAGTCCGTCCGTCCACAAAACTGGATCCCGCGATAACGCAAAAAGTACTGAAAATATTTTTATGAAACTTGATATATGGATAGATGGCAGTATGGAGATTATGCACGTCTTTTTCTTTTCTTCCTATGTTGAAAATTCTGGTTGCTATGTAACAAATAGTCTGAAAATATGGCAAATTTAACACATAAACTGGATCCAGTGATAACTCAAAAAGTACTGAAAATATTTTTATGAAACATAAAATATGGGTAGATGGCAGTCTGCAGATTATGCACATCTTTTTCTTTTCTTCCTATGTTGAAAATTCTGGTTGCCATGGCAACAAATAGCCTGGATTTCAAGATTTCTGATTTAATTTTTTCAGCTTTTTCACTATAAGTTCTTTATTTCTTAAGGTGTTTACTTCAAGCTTTAAATATAAGTTTCTGGTCATCAACCACATCATATGTGACAAGGTTTACAACTCTAGCACAAAAATTATCAGTATTACCTCCCTTGAACTTAGAATTTTTATGAAAAAAAAATGTTGTCTTTTTTAAATAACTTCTTTATTTCCTACTGTATCTACTTCAAACTTCATATATACGTTTCTTATTATCACTCAACATTTTCGAGAAGGTTAAATACTCTAGCAAGACTATTTCCAGAATTATGTCCCCCTTGAACTTTTTTTTCGAGAAATTGGTATTTTTTACTCCAACTTCTTCATTCCTTATAGGATTTACATTAAAATCCCACATCGTAATAATATTACAAGGTTGTATAAACATAATTGCCTTACTAGGCAGGGAAACTTAACACATTACTGTGAAATAGACAAACTTAGAACTCAAAAGATTTAAGTTCATTCATGTCATTCATTCACTGGTAAAATTGAAATCAGAATGTTGCTGGGGTTCTAACCGGTAGGGGACTTATGGATTGCGTGCAATACTATGATAATTGCTTGTTTAATTAAAGCTTGAAATTAAATATTAGCGCGACATGTCTGGCTTCCTTGTTGTTTCACCTTAATAGGTACATGTATATAGGAATCAGGTGGGATATCTCATAATTTTTTAGATTTGTATAAATGATTTAATGTTTTGCTATTCTGGTACAGAATAAATTTAACATTTAAATTTACGTGGTATTTATTTTTCTTTGGATATGTAAATTGATATAAATTTATCTATAATTCATCAATGATAGAAATATGTGCTAGTTGTTTGATTGGGTTGAATGAAAAATCATCGGCTACACACTTAACACACACTCTCAGCATTCAAAAATTTAAATGTTACTTTAGCATGATTGTTGGTAATTTTCTTTCTATGATGTTGAAATGTTGCAACTTTTTTCTTTTTTTTTCAGGAAGTAAAGTATATCTGTGGGATACTGATAAAGAAAGTGTTGTAGCTGTGTTAGATTGCTCTAATAAGATACCTGCTGCTGATAGTTACCATGTTCAAAAAGTGAAAAAGTTTGAAGGTAAAAGACAGATGATATGTGAATATACATTCTGTTAAGTTTTTAGTTACGGTATCATTCCTCAAAATTAGCTCATTAAGACATCACATGATTATAATGCTGAGTATTGAATCCCTGTCTATAATATTATACATTAAAACTACTTTGTACTTCTCTTTTCTTTGAAAGAAAGTGGCAAGATCCAAGCTAGATGTGTTGAATGAGTCAACAAGTTGTCTTTAGTGTCATTAATAAATTTCTAGATATTTTGAAAGGAAACCAACTTGTAGTATACAAGGCTCACTACCATGTAACAAAATAAATGCAGATTATTGGATAGAAGTTTTATCATTGTGTACCTCTATTATAACAAAAATTAATCTGTGGATTTTGTAATATTCAACAAATTCTCTACCCATTTTATTACTAAGTTTTATATTATTTTTGGCTTTGAAATTATTTAATTTTTTTCTCAACTTTTTGAGAATTAACTGTATGCATATACACATTCAACATATAAGCAGATGTTCTCACTGTATATGACATCATTCTAACATTTACCATTCATCATCTGATTTTATATTGTCACATTTGTTGTATGCAAAAACAAGCAAGTGAACTTTTGAAATTTTACTTTATATATACTGTTGAAACTTCCTTTATCTAACATTTTTCAGCAAATCACTACCAAGTTACAGCAGTGAATGCAGTTGGTCAGTATTTATATGTTAGTACGACCTGGGGTTGTGTTATTGTAGCAGATGCCATCTCCATGGAGCCATACAGTGTCTTTCGTTGTCATAGTGATGAGGAATTCTACTGTAAAGCTATTTTACAGCTAGGCCCTCTTCTTACGCCTGACCAGCTAAACTTGCATACTGCAGCCGCAGAAACAAATCTGACTGAAACTTTATACAGGAGAATCCCTGGACCAAACTCTAACTACACAGATGGTAGGGATGGTCAGCGTGCAAATATTGCAGAGAAATATCAGGGTGTGGTTACTATAGGACGTGGGTATAGGGATATAATAAAGTGTGTATCAAAACTGGAGAAACAAGCGTTGGTACGAAGTGATAAAGAGGATTGTTGGTCAGTTGTTAACACAGGGTTAGATCCTGATCAAGGCACAGAATCAACAAAACAAACAAACCTACACACTTTTTTGTTGTCATGGGAACCAAAACATTGGGAGTTTTATTAGCTTATTTTGATAAGCTTAGTCAATATTTGACCCTGAAGTGTCACATATGACAATATAGGTGGTCTGGTGCTTTTCATTTGTCCTATCCTATGTTCATAGGAATAGAGTACTTGCATTCATGATTTTCTAGAATCACAAGAAAAATAGTAAAACATGTTAGTGTTAGACATATATGAGTGTTGTTAAAAAAGTAAGGACTAAGAGTCTTGCATATTCGTATTTCATTCAGTTTAGAATATTTTCATATGTACAGTGATTGTAAAATGTTTTCCACAATTTAGCATAATTTATTGATTTATTGTGATGAACGTGTGTTTCCTGTGATATTTAATAACCATGGTAACATGCACCCGGCACAACACATCAAAATAGTTAGTGAAGCTAAGTTGTATTTCTAATTTATTCACAATTTATTATCTGTTTGTCCATATATTCTATCAACACATATAATTATATTTAAGTGACATTATATCCCAATAAGACGTCATTCAGACATGAAAAGGCTTAAATATTAAGTTTTGAACAGCAGTGGTCATAGTGTAAAATGTAGAAACATGACATTTGTTAACTATTTGAAAATGAGTGTGATCATTAAATTTTGCCAACAATGGCTATAGTCCTTCAGATACATACAAAATGATTAAATCAACAAAGGAGGACAATTATCCTGATATAAGATAATCTACTGGAAAAGGCGAGGATGAAAAATACGGGATGTTAGTGATGCCAATTGCAAAAAAGCTACAACAGGATCAATGGTAAACAGTTTGCAAACGGTTCGCAAACTGGCATTTTAATAAATGTTAGACTGTGCTAAGTAGAAAAGGATACTTTTCAATTGAAAAATGTTGTTATTTTACCATTTATAATTATATAGTTTTAAAACATATAATGACATGTGTTAATTGATAATTTAAATTGCTTTTGCATTAACATTTTAAGTCTGCCAATGCCTGTTGAGTTCTCAGATTACTCACAATATACAAGAAAAAGCGGAGAATGGCTGGCTATCAGGTTTTGTTTTTTTTGAGAGTGGAAAGAGATGGTGATCGCTTTGCTTCTTGCTTCATCTCTACATATGAAGCGTGAATAGTTAACATCATTCAGACTGCTACAGCACTAGGAAGAATACTTTCAAAAGAATGACACTTTTTACATTTTGTATTTATTTTATGACGTCATGAAGATCATTTAATATATTGTTAGCATGCACCAGATTTTTTACCCCTTGTCATTTTAAAATTGCACAGAATTGTTATTTGTAAATACTTTGTATTGCTTTTTTCACTGTATATAGTGAACATGTTCCCATATTTGTCTTTTGTATAATTCTTTATGTATATTAAAAAATGTAGAGCTGCAGTCCCATTACTTCTTGAACAATCCTCGTACATGTATATATTTTTTATTGTGCCAATGGAATTCTTTAGTACTTTTTCAGGTTTTTAAAAAAAACATATATTGACACTCTGATTTAAACCTTTGATACAGAAATTATAGATAGGTAAATAGATATAAATTCATTTATTATATATTGCCATACAGATTTTATGATATAAAAGATTTTTTGCTCATTTGCTACATTGACGGAGTCAATATTTCTCTATTTTCATCAAAACTGAGCTTATACATGTATATGTATAAACTAGTTTCAAGTTGTGTTCACACTACACTGGTATTATATTATACAGTCTGCTACACTTATAACAAGATTGGTTTTAAAAAAAAACAGGCATCAAGTTTTTCCACCTCAAACGGTAAAATAGTGATAGAAAAAATAGAAATATCATGTATAGTAGTAATATGTTCTTTTATTACATGTTTTGCAGTAGATTACTGAATTATAACGGTTAATTATATTCTGATAATTTCACAGTAATGATTACCAAATATAATTTCACTGTAGCCGAACTATATTTGGCGTAAAAATAAAATATTTATCATTAATGAATGTTTTTTTTCAGCGGAAATGTAGTCAATCATAATAAAAAATGTACGTGATAACTGTAGTTCGTAAATATTTACGAACGTTGTGCTGAAAAACATCTAAAATCTAAAAATAATCATGGAATTATATTTTGCTTCAACATTGTGACGTCATTATTTGATGACGTCATGAAGATAAGAGCATGACGTTACGCGGCAAAAATCAGTAAAATGGTGTAAAAATCGTTAAAAAATCATGAAATAAACAGAAAATTTGTTTGTTTTATATGTAAGATCAAATAATATTTCACTCGTGAACCCCAGCTATTATATTTTCACTCGTGGCTACGCCACTCGTGGAAAATATTGCATCTGGTGTTAACTCGGTGAATATTTTTCGATCTTACACTGAAACAAACAAATATCCTCTATATAAAAAGGTGTAATTTCCCAGAGCTTAATACGTAATGTACCTGAAAATGGAGTTTAGCTAGGATTTTGAAAAGGCCAATAAACCAATCCTGTAAGGTTTACAGATCACGTGCTCCTCCATGTACCGAAAACAGGTCATGCGCTCCTCCATGCCTCAAAAATTAATCGCGTACCATTACGCTCCAGGCTCCAGCCCGCAGGGAATAAATAATTTCTAGAAATTATTTAGACATTACAATGAACAATGTCTTATATGCTTTTGAATATTAAATACCTTATTTGTGAATTATTTTAGAATAAGACAATAAGGAGCTAGGCATTTTTTTCACAACTACTATATTCAGTCATAAAAAAAGATGTAAACAAATCATTTAACAGGTTATAATTTGTGATTGATTTAGAACTGTGCAGAAATAATTAACACCACAGTTTGTTACCCTAGTGCAGTTACGGGTTTACCCCTTATTTAATTTAATAAGAATTACTGTTAAAGAACTTAGGTTACAAGTTGCTTGTTTTCTTTAAAAAATATAGTATTTATCTTCCAGAATCACATTCTATGTATTAATTACACATAATTTCACAAAATTTTGTGAATTTTATGGATTTTATAGACTTATAACATGTCTTGTATTCATGAATCCTTGGAATGACGTCATGTTTTAAAATATTTTTTCAATCATAATATTAAAATGTGTCTTTATTGTTACCAATGTTTATTTTACATGTAATTATGATGTGTGTGTGTGATATGTAAAAGTTATGGAACTGTTAAAATGATTAAAGATATTAAAAAAAGGATTATACCAGCATAAGTTTGTTAACTTCCAGGTAATTGATAGGATGTCAAAGAAAAGTATGGGCAATATTTAAGAGTGGTTTAGCTGTTAAGACATCAATTTAAGCTCCACCTATTTTTTTATTTATTTTTTTTAATAAAAAAAAAATGAGGTATTGTTACTGTCACTTCAGCGTTGCTGTTGCCTTCCACAAACTTTAACCATGATCATTACTTGTAAGTTTTTGGTGTATTGTCTAAATACTTGGCCACAACAACCCTTGGAACAAGACCTTCAAGTAGACCAGACTAACCTTGACCTTCAGTCATAAATGACCTTGATCTTCAAATGTCTAAATTTAATTTGTTTTTTGCCGATTTTTGCTATTAGTGGCTATAATGATTGAATGGATTATCTTCAAACTTATCTTTTAGGACAGACCTTCAAGTTAATAAGACAAACCTTGACCTTGACTTATAAATGACTTTGACCTTGAAGGTCAATTTTTTTTAATTTTCATTTTTTTGCTGTAACTGGATATAACTGTTTTAATGAATGGATTGACTTCAAAATAAAACACAATATTCTTTAGGATAAGACCTCCTATATCAAACTCAAATTGACCTTGGCTTTTTAATGACCTTGACCTTGAAGGTTAAATAATTGAATTTTCACTGATTTTTGCTATAATTGACTGTAACTTAGTAATGAACAAATTGATTATCTTCATACTTTGATAAAACAACATTTTAGACAAGATCTTCAAAAAGATTGAGCTTGAGCATTAAATGACCTTGACCATCAAGGTCAAATAATTAAATTTTGGTTAAGTTGTCATAATTTAGTTATTTATGTACGGATTCGATTCACAGTAGACAAAATAACATTTATGACCCAAGTATACATGTTGAATAATTTACATATGACCTTGACCTTTAAATGAACTTGACTGCCAAGGTCAGATGAATTCTGCTTTTATTTTCTTAACTTTGTCATTTATTCATGGAAATGCTTCATTCTTGGACAAGTGTGACTAGACAGACTTACAATAAAAAAAGAAAAAAAAAAAATTTTTATTTAATTATTTTTTAAAAGATTTGTTCAAACCGTTAATTTGTTTATTGTTAGAAAAAGTAAAAAAAAAGGCCGAGCATTTCCCTTGCCCCCGCCCGGAGGTTGGTCTTGTTACTGATATTCAAAGGTATATGAAAATATACATTAGAGCGAGGCAACATCGTCTGTTTGCTTTTCTGTGAAAACAAACATAATAAAAAATAAACTCATTCAATCAAAGCATGTTTTCAAGAGAAGTTAAATCGCTTGGCTGTGCTGAGCAAGAAGGCATTAAAAGCTAAAATAGAAATAAGCTTTCTTTTTATTAAGAGCATATAATATATTGAGTCTTGGATAGCGCTTATCTAAAATTTTCCATTTCTTGTAAAAAATGGCTAATTAAATGATAGTGGTTGCCTCGCCATTTTATAGTCTGAAGAAAAACAGTAAGAGTCTAAATTTAACCTGGGTGTACCGTATAAAAATTAAATTGTTTTCGTTCACTGAACTAGCGCATCTTTACTAATGTGTGAACAATTTCTGACCATCGTGCCCCTCAATAAGCTTAACATAACATCAATTTCTTTCTGATCATTTTATTTCTCAACATTGTCACAGAAAGAAATTAGACTTTGACATATAATGGTGATATATTATAGCCCGATAATATGAAATATACTATATTCATAATTGCAGGGGCTACCGTAAGAAATTGACTTTGTTATTTTTAGAATATATAGAGGATAATGAATGACTGTAAGTTCAATACTGAATTTATTGAACGAGTTGTATAAAATTTTATAACGAGCCTCTGGCGAGTATAATATTATGTTATTAAACGAGTTTAATAAATTAAGTAATGAACCTACACGAATTATCACAAATCCAAATACAGTGAAAAAGGATCATTAAGCGCGTCATTACACTGTGTTTGTATAACGCAAATGACGTCACTTCAACTATATATGATTGTGATAAAATCTTTTTTCTTTCTTGATATATTCGTGTGTGTGTGTGTGTGCGTGCGTGCGTGCGTGTGTGTGTGTGTGTGTGTTGTTCAAATAGAAAATCAATGTACTTGCTGGTACTCATCCAATATACAGACAATGACAGAAGGTAGCGTTCACACTGTTTATCTGGTTAATAACTTAGTAGAAAATGTCCTGTTACATAACTTGAACACGGGATGTGCTATTCAAGGAAATAATTTAGATTTACATGTATGCATGCTGAACTTATATATAACCTTAGCTTGTTCCTCCAGATCTCTACCGACGTCATTTACATTTTTCATAAATATTATGCAATGAAATATGCAATGAAATATGCTATGAAATAGGACGTTGTTCTGTATGAAAGAAAATTCCCGAACTTTCGACATTTACAAAATCCAAATTACAGTTTAAACCTGTAATTTAGGACAGTCTATGGCCAGTGATTACCTGCTAGCCACCACTTTATTGATCTATAATGATAAAGCTTTCATTGTAATCTAACATGGCATGTATCAATCAGTTTAGTAACATTCACTATAGTTGGGAGTTTGATAAGTCAAAACTCTAGTTCTGTAGACTTATGCCAGTTACGGAGGCGGTTCCTGTTTACTTGGATGATTTAATGTCGTTGAGAAATTTCTTTACTTTCGACTCGCATTCTTTCTCCTGCTCTGCCTGAAAGAGTGAATAATTTGTGACAAATAGACAGACAGACAGACAGACAGACAGAGTCATATATATATGTGTGAAAGGGAGACATACATGTACATTACCAAATGACAACAAACTCCATATTTTTTCAATAATTGCGGAGTTTGTTATTTATTTTTATTTTTTTTATTTTAACACTGCACCAGACACAATTATCACTTTCCAATATTATATATGCACGTAAGTAGAAAAATTCAAGATATGAAAAGAAAATTACCTGATACTGTTTTAGTAAATTAAGTCTGGAATCATAGTCTGCCAATAATCTGGAACTTTGACGCGACTCTAGTCCAGCAGATCTAGTGGAAAGCGAAGAATTTAAACCCAACCGCCTTGTTTCAGAATAAGCAGACAAGCCACTCTTTGACGCTGATCTGTTTGACCAAGAAGCAGGCGGACTTCTTGCTTGGCACGATTCTGTTGGTTTTGAATTAATATGCTTAGGTCTTAACAGTGGAGCACTTCTGTAGTATTTTCCTGATTCCGAATTCGTAGTCTGCCTGATGCACGGGGAACTTTTGGTACGGCCATCGGTACGTGTGTCTTCTTTAGATTTATGTTGAAATGAAACTGCTTTCCTAGGATTGATTTCAGAGTCAACTTTAAATTGAACCATTGAAGGTTTTGATTCGGCCATAGATTTCATGTCATTTGTCAATGAACATGAATTCATTAAATGTGTACTCATATTTAGATTCGCGGATGATGATATGTATTTGCCTGTTGGTACGTAACTCCAGCGTCGCTTTAATATGCTTTTATCTGAAGAGTTTTTCAATTTTTGAAGTTCGTCGTTTTCCTGTTTTAGTCTAAACTGGCAGCCGGTACAAGCCCTTGACGATGGTGTATATATTCGTTGCTTGTAAAGATTTCGCCTTTCTGACGACCCGGGCTGGAACGCAAATCTGTCATTTGGCTTTTCGTATGTCTCTCCGGTAAAGTCGCTTACACTTATATATTCATTGGAATGAGCCCTTAGAAAACTCTTCAAATGTCCGGAATTTGACTTTGACAAGCTTATTTTACTTTTTGATAATTCCTCACATATATCAACAATAACGCCTCTCAACATTGCGATTTCTCTATTGCAGTCTATAAAACTTTGATTTGATTTCTCTTCATTCGGTATCCTCTTGGAATATGGTGCTGAAATTGTATGTGTCAGTTTGATTTCACTTCCATTTGATTTTGTTTCTTCATCATTTGGAATCACTGACAAAGATGTTGTAGAGACTTTAAACTCACCGTTAGATTTAAATCGAAAACCAGGAGGAATCGGTCTTCCGTCGAGGGTTACTATGCAATCTTCAGACGTTAAATCCTTCGTTGAAAATGCAGTAAAAGAATGATTCCGTTTGAATGATTTTGCTAATGCGTTTTGCTCACGGCTTAGGTCTCGTATAACTTTTATCTTTTGCTTATCGATGTCATCCCATTTATTTACCAACTTATTCAGCTCAACCGCATTTCTTGAACATTCAAGTAACGACGGATCAAAAAATGCCGGACCAAGTTTTTCTTTTGCATCTTGTACAGATTTCCTCGGGGCAAAAATATCTGTTTTTCTTTTTCTCCTAGGTAAAACTATCGACATCCTTAAAAAGACTTAAACGCATTATTGTGGTTAGAAATCGTTAAACCAATTAAGTCTATGGACGCCGCCATTTTGTTTATTTGAAATAACGCGACGTCATCATAATGACTTGTGAAAGTTTTTCCCGCTATACACGAAAGACGTCATGAAAATGATAATAAACTCGGTGGCATGGCATTCTTGAATTTGACCCTATAGTTGGTAAATTCCGTAAACGCTACGATTTACTTGTAAATCGATATGAAATGTATATAACTAGTTGTTAAATTGTTTCAATAAAGTATTCCTCTTAGCGCAGTTTTACTTCAAGAATATACAAAATAGAGCTCTGTGTAAGGAGATATGCAAGTATGGAATGATAAACATTACTTATTATATACATTGTACTTATAAATGAAATACTGAAAAATATTGATGAAATAAAATGCGTATGTGTATTTTCCGTATTTCACTGTAAAAAAATATTTTTTACTGCAGTGAAACATATTTTTCGTATTTTCAATGGTCTCTTGCCTGACTACTTTCTTCTAAATTCAGCCAATACACAAAATATAAGGGGAAGCCTTTCTAATTGTAATGTCAAAAAAAATATAGAAAAATGTATATACATTTGTAATAAAAAGAAAATTAAAGCTTTTCCTGTAATGACAGGATTTATTTTCATCCTACAGTATAAAAATTATTATATTTCACTCGTGGCTACTGCCACTCATTCTTCCTTCTCATGAGAAGTTTGATGAAACTCACGATATTAAACTTCACCAAGAAATCCAACGCATTTAGAATGTATATGGATCAGAAAGTCTTACTTTTAGTTTAGAGGTAACACAGTTACTAGCAGCAGAGGACAAACAAGGTATAATTGTGATCATTGAACAAAAGAAGCAACGTTTAGAAAAATGGCAAATGTGTTATTAGTATCTGAACTATTGTATGCTCTTCGTTTTCTGTAAATACATAGTGCTCTCCGCTTCAAATCGGACGAGGTTGTTATATAAAAAAAACGTCGTAGGCCCCCTATGGTCTATTTCAAGTTTGAAGTCGAACTAATTGATACTGCTTAACAATCGTTATTTTCTTATTCGCTTGCTCAAACGAAAATAAATTATTTATTCTCTTTAAAAGCTATTAAGCATAATAAACTAATAAACAACGAGACATAATTAGGATTGGCCAATTGTATCGCTTTTATTATATCAAAAATACAGAAATTATTTCAAATATAAATAATGAAATGAACTTTGCCTCTTCCTTGAATGAAAACATCACCTGTTAAATATAACGGAAAATGTATTTCCATGGAAAGAGCTTCCTTTTCTTTACAACAATAAACTGACATCATACCAGTGTACTCAATCAAATTGTAGGGGTGGAAGGGATGCGATGGGAATATACATGTAAACAAAGCAATGCCATTATGCATTTAGTTGATGCACGAAAATCTCATGCAAGACAATCTTTATACAGTTACTATATCACAACATATCTTAATAGCTCTTCCAATAATAGCTCTAAGAAATTGTACAATTTAACAGGTACAACGGCGGACAACCCCATGCCGAGGGACGAAAGTGATAGTGAATTAGCAGATAATTTCGCAAATCATTTCATGAACAAAATTGAGAAAATCGAGATTTACTCAAGAACTTTCCGCATTACCAACCGAAAGCAAAACATGTGCCATCCCTGAAATCTTCGGCTGAATTAAGCATGGAAGAAGTGAAAAAGATAATAAATGAATTAAATACCAAATCTTGTGAGCTAGATATCCTCCCTACACGCGTTTTGAAATCATTTCTGAATGAACTTTTTCCATTAATCACGAAACTGGTTAACTTAATCACTATCAAAAGTTGTTTTTCCAAAATCGTAGAAGCAAGCGCTCGTACGACCCTTATTGAAAAAAAGTAGGACTGGATCTCATTTTCTCAAACTACAGACCAGTGAGTAACCTATGTTTTCTATCGAAAGTGATTGAAAAGGCTGCTCTGCTCAGACTTAACGCTCACACAGATGAAAACAACCTGCTTCCCCAAAAACAATCCGCGCATCGTCGACACCATTCATGTGAGTCAGCTCTGTTGCGGATAGTGAATGACATTTTGGAAGGTATGGAGCATCAGGAAGTCACAGCTATGATTGCGCTTGACCTAAGTGCTGCCTTTGATACAGTAGACCACAACATTTTGTTTGATGTGCTTGCTAAACAATATGGGTTATGTTCGACGGCGCTTGACTGGATCAACTCATACTTGCGTCCTCGCAGCTGTCGTGTCAGTGTAAACTCATCGTTGTCGTCTGCGCGTTCACTGGAATGTAGTGTCCCACAAGGCGGCTGTCTCGGTCCTTGGCTTTACCTCACATACGCCGGAACGCTCTTTGACATTATACCACCATTAGTCACGGTTCATGGCTTTGCTGACGGTCACACGGAAAACGTACGTTTCAATCTGTCAAACGAAAATGCAGAAAAGAATTCCATAGAAACTCTTGAAAACTGTGCTTTGGAAACAAACAATTGGATGAATGGAAACAAATTAAAAATGAATAAAACAAAAACTGAATTCATCGAGTTTGGCAGCAAACATCAGTGCTCTCTTGGCATAATTAACATTGCCGGTCAAAGAACTGCATTCATTATTTAGGTGCTTATCTGGACGAAAATCTCAATTTCAAAGATCATGTTAAACGCAAATGCCGCACTGCCATGTTCAACTACTTGAAAATAAAAAACATCAGGAAATATCTCACAAAAGAAGCCACCGAAATATTAGTCTTGTCTCTCGTCATCTCTCATTTAGATTACTGTAATACAATACTTTATGGAATGTCCCAGTGTGTAATTCAAAAGATGCAAAGAATGTGTGCAAAACTGGTTCTCAACCGTGGAAAATATGAAAGTTCAAAGCAATCACTCTACGATCTCCATTGGTTACCAATCAATGCTCGAATAACATTCAAAATCTGTACATTTATGTTCAACAGTTCCATTGGAAATGCACCTGCTTATATGACTAGTCTTTTGTCTGAAAAAATGCCTTCAAGACTTCTTCGCTCTTCTTAGGAGGGGTGTTATTTTGTTCCCTTCAATAAGAAAAAGACATTCAGCGACAGAAGTTTTAGTACGGTGGGACCACGCCTTTGGAACGAACTTCCAATAGACATTCGTCAGTCGGACTCTGTAGACATTTTCAAACGTAAACTGAAAACATGGTACTTCAGAGACTATTTCTCTTTATTTTAGTTTGGATATTCATATAGTTTTTTTTCTGATAGAAAAGTGATCTGATAAAGTACAAATGTGATAGCGACTTACATTTAATAATAGTAATAGTATTCTTCATATAGCTTCTTAATATTTTACTTATTTTAAACTTGTGTGTGTGCGTGCGTGTGTGTCTATATGTATTGGATCAGCCTAGTTAATTTGCATACTCTTGCGGTGAAGACTAATGTAGACACAAAGCATAGGAGACTGGTGTGTGTTTTGCTCTTTGAGGGAGGAGTTCTTTGTATGTTACTAAGCTTTCTAAATGTTATTTTTATTGTTTGAATTGATTTCACAATTATTTTTAATTTATTTTAGTAAGATTTTATCCTTTTATCCATTTATATGTTTTATATGTACCATTGTACAACACCATTGAAAATTGTTATTGAAATAGGCGTTTTATCAAATAAAATGTTTCATGTTTCAAATACATTTGCAGACAACGGACTGTTGATTAATAGAAAGAAAAAAGCGAGCGTTAGTGAACGACCATGTTCATTTTTGCACATTTTACCAATCGCAAGTACCTTTGATGTTTCCATAAATACAATTACCCCATTACCATGGTTTCTCTCCCATGTACATATGAAGTGCTTACTTAAATAATTACAATATCAGTAAATGTGACAGGTTGTGGTTGTTGTTGTTGTTTTTGCCACTATCTAACTTAAAAAATTAAGAATTGAAATTCCCGTATATAAATCCCTGTTTGGTGGCGGCATGGCCGAGTGGTTAACGCGTCGGACTGGTAATCTCATGATCGCTAGCCGCATGGGTTCAAACCCCGTCAGGGGCAAGTCGTTGTTTCCTTGAGCAAGAAACTTTACACTCATTGCTCAGTACTGGTTGGTTCCAGGAACTGATTCGAAAGTGTGTCTATAAGCTTATAGCTTCCTACACAATCGAACTAAAATAAATTCTGTATAAACCAAATCCCTGTTAAGTAAATAGAATCTTCAAACACGATCAATGTTTAAATGTTGAATGGTTAAGTACCTTAATTACCTGTTCAATGTGGAACTGAACATTGTATTTAAATATTGTCCTAAAATGAAGACTATAAGAACCAGATACTATTTTCTAGATACTGTTTTATTGAGTTTCCTGAGTATATTTAATTTTAGGCTAATATTGTTAGATTGAGACAAATGTAAACATATTTTGTTATACTGTCAGTTACATAATATTATGTAACTGTTCGAAGTGATTCGTAGTAATGTTAATAAGTCGAAATTTCGAGTTAGTAAGTCAAAATTTCGAGTTAGTAAGTCGAAATTTCGAAATAAGTAACTCGAAATTTCGAGTTAGTATGTCGAAATTTCGAGTTAATAAGTCGAAATTTCGGGCTAGTAACTCGAAATTTCGAGTTAGTAACTCGAAATTTCGAGTAAGTAACTTTCGAGTTAATAAAAAACATACACCTGGCACTTATGCATTTCCGTAGATTCGATATGAATACAGTAAGCATAAAAAAATGTAAAAAAGAATAACAAAAACTGCACCAGTTTGTATTTGTGAGTGATGTCATTTTGTTACAATTCTTCATAGGGTTGAACGTTTCATTTCTAAGGTAAATTTAGCCATGGTAATATCATACCTGAAGATTATGCAGACTTTGTTTAATTATTGACGTCAATGCGATACTGACATAACATACTGATTGTTTTATTACACTGTTAATCGATAATTTACCTTCTCAAGTAATGATAGACTTGATACATATAATATATATGTACAATATATCAAACACCTTCATCAACGAGTTATTTCATAAACATCACCTCCAATGCGTTAAAAGACACGTTTTATGACCCGATACTCCTTCAT